AATACAAAAAAAATTGGCATATCCCTAATACTATATATTCATTATATAAAACAAAAATAAATATGGAATGTAAGATTATTTTTAATGATCAAAATGGAATGATAAATTTAAAATAACCTAGAAATGAAATATTGGGTACATATCTGTTATGTAAAAATAGAAAATACAAAAAAAAAACAGAAAAAGTAAAAAATAGAGAAAATTTTGAGCACACACACACACATATATAATGTAGATGGAATATATAACTTAAAACTGATCCAAAAACAAAAATTTTTCTTATCTAGATGATGGGTAAATAATCCAACTTTTCAAAGAAATGCCATGATTGAATAATAAATATTTTAAAACATTTGAACACAAAATGATAAAGTAGAGAATTGTGCCAAAAACATTTGGGAACATTTCTAATGTTATATACTCTTCATATTAAATAAAAATTATTTTTATTTATGACAGAAATGGAATAAAAAGTATAATAATAATTATTGTTATCATAATTTAAAATTTCCACATGCAATGCACTTGCACATTTACTACATTTAAATTTATTTTTAATCATACTATTATTTTTGTTAATTTTCGTTTTCTGTATTAACTATGATGAGCCCAGATCTCCTACCCACAAGAACTCTACCCACATCTACACACATAACATTGCAACCGCACATGGAAAACATCTCATACTCTTGCATAGTATTATGCACGAGGAGATGTTCCTAATGCATACGGGTAGTGTGTTGTGGGTAGATGTGGGTACGGTTATGGAGTCAACTATGGTATATCTAAAATTCAAATAATTAATATGAAGAAAAATTTTTTGCGTGCAATGCATGTGCTTAATTACTAGTATTAAAGATGTACCAAAATTTGTTTTACATTTTTTTTTGTATTTTCTTTATGCTTTTTCCATTTCTATCTATTTTGAACTTTATTATTTAGTTATGATATCCTGTGTGAATCCATTTCACTTAAAAGAGAAAACAAATCTTTTTTTGGCAGAATAATATTTTGTTCCATTTCTATCATTAATTAAAAAAATCTTATTTATCACACTTATATTTGTTTAATATGATGAATATATAATATTAGATATGTGTCAATTTTTTTTACAACTTTCTGAACTTTTTTATAATCATTTTGTATTTTATATCTACTTTTAATTTTTATTATTTAATCTTGACATCATTGGTTGACCCACTTAATCCAAATGGTTGGACCATTAACATGCCACACATACAAGTGAGGTCTACTTGCAACTGTTTCAAAAGGTTCAAGCAAAGTGATTGGAATTAGCAAACTTTAAGGGAGGTTTCAACAATTTACCCAAATGTTCATTTAAACATCAAATAGTGAATGATACAAATACACGAGAGATACATGAACAATACAAATGCACTAGAGATATTAAAACCTCCACAAGTCGCATAAAATACTGTGTATAACCATTTAAAACTTCTTTGTCTCCTATTCATAGCAATGTTTTAAAAAAACTACTTGAAATCAAAACCGTTTTGGCCACCGGTTTCTGGGTCAATGGTTCAACTGTCCAGTTCAAACGAATGGCCCATTTTAATAAAATAAATTAAAAATATAAAAATAATTAAAATAATTAAAATTTAAAAACAACCAAAAAACTGTTGAATAGGTTGATGGTTCAACTGCTCAGGTCAATAATTTTTGGTCGAAGACCAGATTTGAGGTAAAATAGAACCAATTGGCTGAACGATTCCCAGATTAAACGGTCTAACCATCTAGATCAACGGCGGTTCAAAAACCATGATTCATAGCGTCTTTTTCGTGATCAGTATTATGAGCCCTTACAGCCCCCTTCAAACTCAAGACAAGACAAACTGAATTTGTGAGAAAGTCATAAACTTCTATTTGGAGAGTCTCTTATTAGTAACGACACCAGTTATCTGAAGTGGAGATAAATTTGACATTCAACAGTTGACAACGCACCAGACCCGTTACAAAATGGTAGTTGATCTCAACATGTTTGGGGCTGAACTTGTACCCTCTGGACCAAAGTACAGAGGATTTCCTGTACCACCCAACAGAGAACAGCCATGTTGTGTCGCTCCATCATTTCAAGCCCAAATTTTACTGAGTTCAGATGTTTACTAGGAATGACAACAGACGGGTGTTTGGGGCTGAACTTGCACCCTCTGGACCAAAGTACAGAGGATTTCCTGTACCACCTAACAGAGAGCAGCCGTGTCGTGTCGCTCCATCATTTCAAGCCCAAATTTCACTGAGTTCAGATGTTTACTAGGAATGACAACAGACGGGTGTTTGGGGCTGAACTTGCACCCTCTGGACCAAAGTACAGAGGATTTCATTTCCTGTACCACCCAACAGAGAGCAGCCGTGTTACTGTTGCTCCATCATTTCAAGCCCAAATTTTACCGGGTCTAGATGTTTATTAGGAATGACAATAGATGGGTTCAGGGCAGGGCACTCATTCCCCATAGGCGATGGAGTTCCATCGTTGAATTTTTCTCATTTTGATGCAATCACCTAAACATGCATGTAATTTCGAGCTATTTTAAAAATAGGATTGTGGGAGTTTGGAGTATTTTAAGAATTGGATTATGGTAAATTGGGGGTATTATAAAAATGGAATTATGGGATTCTAGCGTTGTTAATAATTTGGGGAAAATTTAGATGTACTTCAGAAATTAATATTAAACCTATCTAGGAATATTTTAATAGTTTACCACTGGGTTTGGGAATTCTATGCAAACTAGGTCCCCACCTTGTCTCTTGTTTGGGGCAAAAATATTTTCCCTAACCTGCCCCATCCTTGTTTAAAATCGTGAAAAACCCACCCCATTCAGGGTACGACTAGTTTTATGGGGAAAATTGCCACCCCTAATGTTAATGCTAGTCTAGACTCCAAAACAAAATGAAATTTGGTTTGTTTGTTTGCCCAAAACTCCCTTCCCCCTCACCCTTATGTTCCACCCCTGCTACTGACCAAGCAAGGTTTATCTGAACTCTTTAGCTGATAGTGGGGCCTATGGATTTATTATTGGCGTGGAACTTCATCATTGGTTCCACAGCTTGCTAAACAGTTAAAGCGTTCAGCTAATCCAAATTCCTACTGACTGCCTAAGGCTGTTGCAACCGCTCAACTCTCTCTCTCTCTCTCTAACTCCTTTCTTCTTCCTTATTATTGCAAAAGCTAGAGACCTTCACACCAGAACCAGAGGATTTGTTGTTGCAATCATTTCCAAGATCACCACAACCAAGAGCCAGAGCCTCTCCCTTCCAAGAGGTTAATTCTTCCATTGCTGTCCTAATTTATTTTGGATCTGATTTATCACTGTAAAACATTTTTGTATTCCTTTTTGAGTTAATTGAATTTCAAGAGGTTTGTTCCAAGAGCCTCTCCAATTGCTGTAACATAAGCTTTTCTCGTTTCCATTAAAGCTAATTTATTTCATCCATTTCTTCCCCATATTTGTTGTAACATGTATAACAAAACCATTCATGATGAGTTTACCGATATCCTTGTGTTGTACATATACAAAACCTTTTTCTAGTGTCAGGTTATTCCTTAGGCTGTGTTTGGAAACGATGCAAATAAGTGTGAATGCAAATATGTAGAGTGTAAAACGGTTCATATAAATTGCAAAATTGGGTTAGTTTTGCACTAACAAATTTAACTTCTTACCAAATAGACTTTTGTGATATCACATGCAAATGGTGTATGACGGTTGATTAACAGTAAGGGAGGTGTTTGGAAATTGTTAGAAAACTTAATGATAGTTTAAAGACAATATGTAAACAATAAGGATATAGTTAGTCAATTTCGTAAACAGTAGGGGTAGTTTAGGAAATTTGCTCTTTTATAAAAAATAAATAATATAACAAATTAATAAAAATATATTTATAAGTAAATAAATAGCATATATGTATTATATATATTTATAGTTATAAATATATAATATATCGGATGGGATCTTCTTGAATCAGATAGGAGGGTGATCCGAATCGGATCCAATTTTTGATCGAATCATATTATCCAATCCGATCCAAAGATCCGAACAAGGGTGATCCAAATTCGACCAAATAGGATTGATCTTGGATCAGATCATATCCATTTGCACCCCTAAGCGAGCTTATGTTTTCTAGGTTCCCTCTTAGAATGAGTACACAATAAAAAAAAGGGAAATTATCTAAAACTCACCATGAGTTTTCAGCATTTCTCTTGAACTCACCACAATGTTTCAAAATGTCTAAAACTTACCATGTCAATAAGTTTTTATTTTCCAAAACTTACCTTCCGTTAGTGCACCGTAATGCTTCTTAATAGAGGTGTCCACATCAGCATAAATAACAATTTTCATGACCAAATTACCCTTGGATGGCGAGTTAGAGGAAAAGGGTTGTTTTCAATTTCCAATTTTCATGTTTTTATGTATTTTTAGTGTTTTTTTATAATTTCCAATGTTTTTTTATATTTTTCTATTTTCTACAATCTATAAATTTTCCTATATTTTTTTTGTTATTTATTTGCAATTTCTGTGTTTTTCTATACTTTTTGGTGTTTTTTCTACAATTTTTATTATCTGATTTTGTTTTTCAATTTCTATAGTTTCTATAATTTGAAAATAAATTTTTATATTTTTTGAAATTCCTGTGTTTTTATGTATTTTATATTTGAAAATATATTTTTTGAACTATTTCCTATTTTTCATGTCTAATTATTAAAATATATGTATATATTTTATATTTTTCTATGAAGGTTAAAATCGTAATATATTAACACCCGTTAATTTGTTTAATGTCAAGTTACTGACATGGTGACTTTAGACATTTTAAAAAATTGTGATGAATTTAAGAGAAATACTGAAAACAATTTTAAACAATTTCCCAAAAAAAATTCCTGTTTAGAAAGTTTATTTTTTACCGCTTCATGGGGCTACACAATAGAGGGTAGCCCATCCCCTTTCCCATAAAACCACGTGCATCGAACAACAAATTACCACGTGCCATTTTGTCCCGCCTAAATCCGTTTCGAAATGCATCGAGAACGAAACAGATTAACAGAGACACCTCCGGCGAAGCAAGAGAGCGAGGGGCTGAGGGCAGGGAATGGAGTCGATAGAGATTGAGACAGCGGCACAGAGTTTGGAGAGATCGGTGGTCTTCCATGTCGTCAAAGAAATGGTTGGTTTTGTCCTCTACATGCACCAACAGATCCCGGCGTAAGTCCTCTAAGTTACTTTCTTTTCGTGTTGAAACCCTAACTCTTCTTATAAATCATCGAGACCGGTTGGCACTGTTAAAGATCTGACTGTAGTTGGAGGTTTGTCTTTCTATTGGTTTCTGTTTGTATGATTTATTAGCGTTATTTTATTCGAATGATTCTCTTTTCGCCGAGTTGAGAATGATTTGATCCATCTTAGACTTGATTGTGCCAAACTATCTCTATTCCTCTCTGTTCATAACGATTATTACTGATTATTTATAGTTTCATAATGTCTCTGACCCCATGTTTCTCTTTGTCCATGTCCTTATGAGCTAGATATTCATTTAGTTTTATCTGATTGTTATTTTTTTCTTCTCCCATAGTTCAGTCATGGACTCGTATCTTTTGGAAAATTAAAAAAAAATGCCTTCTTAGTATAATCAATTTGTCGAACAAATTGTCTTAAGTTTTGCAAGGACAATTTGGCATTTTTTCTACAAGTAATTTTCAAGATTCAAATGGTTACTACCACATGGAAAAGCATAATAGAATATTTGGTCATTAAGCTAAAACTTACGTATGTAATCGTGAAAATCAAGCTGATAAAAGCGACACATAATCAATTCGCCAAGCCTGAATTAAAGTCAAAATGAGGTGCTGGTTTTCTGATTTTAATTGTTTGGAAGTGGGATTTAATATCAATTACTGTTCTGTAGCATCTTGCAGGATCTTAGCCATGAATATGATACACTGCAAGAAGAACTTAAAAGTTTGGTAGGTCTACTAAATGAAGTTAGATCTTTTGCATTGTCAGTTTTCTGGTTATGATTTCTGCATCCTAAGACATATCATTTGTAGGACTTGGTTCGAACGCAAACAAATGTGAAAGCTTCTTCTCAAAGGAAGCACATTGGAAATATGAGAGAGGTGAAGCAGGGAATTAAGAAGTTGGGAAAGTTGATGAATTCCATCTTCAGTCTCCAAACTGCCATCCAACTAATGCTTAATGAGATTCCTGACATCCATGAAATCATTTTAATCCTTGGAGCTAGTCCATTACGGCCAAAATATGTTTATGAGATGTGCTTTTCATGTGGAAAGTCTTTTCAAGGAAGTGTGAATGATTTCTCCAAAAGTAAAACAGCAGAAACGCTTTCAAGAAAGGTTATCCTTGGCATAACTTTTTAATTACAGTTTAGGTTCACATCATCATCATCGTCCAAGCCTTATCCCAACCATATTGGGTCAGCTACATCAATCCTGTTTCACCATTTCGTTCTCTATATTTTATTCAAAATTGTTTTGTTTTTTAGATCAGTACTTGATGTTTGTGTACAGGTTATTAGGTCACTGATTTCTAAGGGTGCAGGATCCAGTACTTATGCAGGTATTAGCTAAGCAAGTCTTTAACAGATTTAAGTTGAGCTATATTAGGTCAATCTAAAAGTGATGCATAATCTTCTTCTAGGCCCCATGAAGCTATTTCTTTTGGTTAAAGCTCCCTCAACTTTCAGTCTGCCTCTTCATTTTCTTCCTAAGCGGGACTACAGATACAGCAAAAAGGTACCAATCCTTTGCATTGCAAATAGTAGTAAGCTTTTTCATTTTTTTGTAATGCTATTTTTTCTTGTCATTTAGCTACTCATGTTTCCACTTTCACCCTGCCTCTTCATTTTCTTCCTAAACAGGACTACAGATGCATCAAAAAGGCACTGATCCTTTTTGTTTCAAATAGTAGTAGGCTTGTACTTTCTTCTAATGCTATGCATTCTTCCTTCTAGCTATGCATGTTTCCAGTCCTTGGGTTTTGGGGGACTTTTGGGTGGTGCGGAGCGGGAGGTATCGTGATGTAATAATGTTTGGGGGTTGCACAGTAAAGTGAAGATCCTTATTTCTTGATGTTTCCACCTGTAGTTTCATTCCAACATATAAGATTTCTCTGATAAAAAAATCAGTCCTCTAAAAGTATTAACCATGTGATACTGTGTGTATTTCTTCTATGTTTATATTTTTCTGACCTCCGGAGGGATATGCAAGTCAGTGTTTAAACTAAGTGTTTTCTGTTACAGATATCACCGTTCAGATTATGCATCAGGTGTAGGACTCATGATCAGGATATGGATGCTTCACATAATGATCCTGTAGCTTCTCAAACTGCTAGTTATACTAGCATTCCAGATTCCACTGGAAACAATTTAATCTGGTATGGAAGGTTTGCTATTTCAACTCTTACCTTTTGGTTAAAGAAATGCTTCTTTGCTCTACATATGTAAGTCCTTCCCCACTGCATGTTCACCAAGAGTGTCTTTATGAGAATCTTTTCCCCTTGTATAGCTTCTGAAAGTCAGGGTGACATATACTCTGTGAGTGTGTAGTCAGATTTATACCTGCAGAGGCATTTAGCATTTTAATTTCATTTATTTTTACATTTTGTATAAAACCAAGGCCTCCAAAACCTCTGTCTGTCCATCTTCCATTAGCCAGTAAATCATGGGTGATGTGCTTTAGGTTTGTGGCTCCAGTTCAGCATAATTGTCAGCACTACTATCATTTATCTCCATCAATGCCTCATGTATGATGTCACTGGACAAGTTGTTCTGTAGATTTTAACTGTCAACTCCTCAAAAATTTCCTTGTTGCATTTCTTTATCTATTAATGATTTAACAGTAATATTTCAATCACCTTTCTTTGAATGACATTGAAGATGGTGCATTGACAACTCAGTTTTCTGTTACAGGTTTCAGTGTAAACACACAATCAAGGGCTTAGCTTCCAGAACACCATTAGAGGAGTAGTGGGAACTTTGTATGCTCAGTTGTTCCTTGTGTCTCTTCCTTTCCCTGCTGCACTACCATGTAATATACCAGAATGAAAACATGTTTCATGTTCTTTTCAGTTGTATTGTATGTAACACAATTACCCAAAAAAGATTTATGGTTTCTTCTGATATGGAAATAGATATGGGGTCTAGTTATCCTTTGTCACTTACATTTCACATGGAAGATATGTTGTATCTATGGTTCGTTTTGGTCATAATTGGGTTATTTTCTCCAGAGATTAATGTGTCCATTGAAGGAAGGGATTGAACCTTTATAGTTATGGGGACAATATTGTGGTTTTCTCCACATATCATTTGTTGGTCTCTCCTTGGAGATAAAGTGAGCAATTGAAGACCAATGGGACCATTTGGAGCTTATGAAATGTCAGGTAAAATGGTTGTTGATGCAATGACCCTCCATAAGAATGAAGTTTATATGTGAACCCATGTGATTTATTTTCGATGAGTAGCACAAATGCACACACACAAAAGGCAGGGATCACACTCCTAATCTCACAATGAACTGAATTGTAATTTTTTTTTGGAAAAATACAATAAATTTATAATAGGGAGAGCCATTTAATTGTAGGCATCCAACTTGGGCATGTTAAACCAAAGCTTGAACTAACCTAGCTTGGAATTTTGCATGGACTGGGCTTGGATTTTTGGTCCTTAGGTGCTTTGTGCCTTAGTTCGGGGATGTGGTTTTTCAAAATTTTGTGCTTTTTTATTCTTTTTGAAGTATGACGGTTGGGTTGGGGGTTCCATTTACGGACCCCTGGCCAAGCAAGCCCAAACAAGTCCTTGTTTGGGTCTTAAATTCATTGGCTCTAAGAATCTCCTATTTGCTAATATTGTTCATTCACTCATTCTAAAAAAAAAGTATTTTATAATATAATTAAAATTTTAAAATCATTTTTTATAGGGACTAAGAATTTATGACCCTAACATGGACTTGTTTAGGCTTGTCTCAAGGAACTTGGTACAAAGGCCACTCATAGAGGAATTAAAGATGTTTAACATCACATCAGCTATTTGAAATTAAAAGTTAGACATGCTTGAATATGTTTTGTATGCTATATTTTATTTTATTTTTGTATTTTCACTTTGTATATGTTTTATATGTTATCTTTATATATTTAATTTTGAGCTTATAGGCTTTTTAAAACATTTAGTTTAAAATTAAAGTTTGATTTTTTAATTAATAGTATTTTTGTTATACTCTTTTTCTTGAATTTTTTACATTTTTCTGCAATTTTTTTCAACTTTTTTCTTTAATTTGCATATTTCTTCAAAAAGGCATGCGCCTTGGTCAATAATGGCCTTTGTACTCTTCTTTTTCACGTCTTACACTTAACACTGGCCTAGACCAAGAAAGTTGGGCTTTTTCAATTTTCAAGTTGAGCTTGGGCCTAACGTTGAAGAACATGAGTGTAGATTGAACCTTCATTCATATATTAGGTGCTTTAGGGTGTTCAAGTATTAGGTCATTATATATTAATATATTCTAATCTTATGATTTAGCTACATGTAATAACTTTATCCTTATGTGATGGATCAATTTTAACTTTATAGTTGAAACTTTAATTACTAAAATATCAAGAGAAAGTTAGATGAAACATTTTTGAGCATCATAAACTTAAATCTCTCCTCTGTAGCTTTATTACTTCTGTCTTTCAATAATGAATTGTCCCTCCTCCATAACTTCTTCCCATCTATCTTTCTTTTTTTTTTTTTTCGATCAGCAACTCAGCTTCTTCCAGTCTATTTTCTCTCTTCTTTGGAGCATGGCAAGACTTGTGGATCTACAGTAGGTGAACTTTCTTAATTCATGCCTTAAAAGAGATTTTTCATTGAGATTTCTCACAATCAAGAGTACTTGGCATATGGTTATAACTGGTGTTCATGGCAAAATGGACTCTGGCTAGGATGTAGGTGTCTCTTAATGGGCTATCCTTTCTTTTGATGTCTGTTTAGGGGATGCTGTCAAATTTTGGGAGGATATCTGGGTTGGTTCTTACGCTCTTAAGGATTTATTCCCTTCATTGTATTTTGTGTCCTTGTGTAAAAACAAGAGGGTGTCAGGTTCCGTTGCTCCTATACTTTTTAGGTCAGAATTGGGATTTTGGTTTTTGGAGAGGTCTAAGAGATATTGAATTAATTGAATTGAATGGGTTATTACAACTTCTTGATTCCGTTTGCTTCGATCCTTCTAAAACAGATAAAGGGATTCGGATTCCTCACCTTAAGGGTAACTTTTCTAGTCCATCCTTTTTTAACTCTCTTTGTTGGTCTTCTCCTCTCATATTTTCCTTGTTAAGCAAGTTTGGTGTCGGTTTGTTCCAGCCAAGATAGGAGTTTTTTGTTGGGGGGGGGGGGTGTTTCATAGGAAGGTTAATACTTTGGACATGATACAAAAAAGAAGACCCTCTTTTAGGGTGATCATTTCAGCCTGGCCTGGCCCAGAAATTTTGGGCTTGGGCCTGGGTTTTGTGTTTAGGCCTGGCTCGGGTCTGGGCCCACATCAGGCCTGCAAATTTTAGGGCCGGTATTGGGCTTAATACTTCAAGACCAATCCGGCCTGCATATATTTAAATTCACACAATTTGTTTATAATGTATACATATATATAAGTTATTTTACATTATATTATATATTTTATATATAAATATTATAACCTGACATGTATAATTTATATTTTATGTAATATTTTATATTATATAATGTATAAAATAAGTTTATATGCATGTTATGTCATTTAATACAAAATATTATAGATATGTAATGTTTTATATACATGAAAGACATTGGCCCAGAATCAGGCCCGGCTTGACCCGGGCCCGTATAGACCTGGGCTAAGGCTTATGTTTCAGGCCCAGAACCCCAGGCCTAAGCTATAGCTCTTATCATAAGCGCAAAGCCCGGCCTGGGCCCAGTTCGGCCCAGCCCATGATCACCCCTACCCTCTTTGTGCTCATCCCTAAATTGGTGCATTCTTTGTAGATCCAATAGAGAAAGTTGTTACCATTATAGAGAAGAGAATGAGCAGTTTTGTCCTTTTGCCTTCTTTGTATGTATATTATTATGCGTGCATATTAGTGTACAACCTTTTATAGCTTTGTACTTTATTTCTCTTGTAAGGATAATCTTGTTTATTCATCTTTTAATATAGATATGTCTTTTTTGGGTTAGATTGACACTGGATCAACTGTAACAACCTTGGAGTTTTCTTGCTTCTCTCTTTCATGTTTGTCTCTCTAAAGTTAACATGGTATTAGAGCAGGTTATTCTCTGATTTGTTTTCAATACATTCAGATCGATTTGTCCCTCTTTACTTCAGTGATTGGTTTTGGACTGTTTTGATCAATCTGAGAACTAGTTTTCTCTGTTCTGCGCAACCATCAAGAAAAATCTCATTAGATCTCTCTTAAAAGACATTAGGTTGTGATAAAACTTCAAAGGAAATGTTGCTTAGCCCAATTTTTCATATTTTGAAAGTTTCACTGGCTTTAGACAAGTGCTGAAGGAGTTCTGTTTATCTCTCTTGAGTGACAACTGTCTACTTTTCTTTTCTAGAATGTGATTTCAGATCTTAATTTCTCTATCTTTCGAACATCTTCTCCTGGTTGTAAGAGGTTTTAACTCTCCTCTTTCAATTCTTTTGGATTGCTTCTTATGATTGCACTATTTGTTTTCTATTGTTCCTTCTATATTTTGTTCATTATGGGACTCGAGCAAGTGGGGCTATATTGATGGCTCTATAGTCATGTTCGATTCTAGTGATGTCAAGGGGTTAAAGTAATGGAAAATAGAAAATGCATAAGTTGTATCTTGGATTCTCATATCTATCACTATTGATGTTGCTATTCCAATGAGGGGGCTTAAAATTGTGCATGACATGTTTGAATACCTTGAAAAGGTGTACCAACAATCAAACATGTCTAGGCAATATCAGATTGAATTAGATATATTTTCTTGTGCTTAGGGGGGAAAACCGATTTAGGAGTATTATGCTGGTTTCGTGAACCTTTGGATTGAATATGAGTTGGTTCACCTTGGAGATTTATTTACAAATTGTTGTGTAAAGTTTAGGGGAAATTCTAGATTAGTACCTTGTACTTTAGGCTTAGTGTTACTTTGGTCCCTGAACTTCAAAATGTGCCAATCCAGTGCTTGAACTTCCAAAATGTGCCAATTTAGTATCTACCATTAACTAGCTATTAATTGGTACATAAAAAGATGCAAATTTCCTTAAGGTGTCATCTACTTTTCGTAAGGAAAAAATGTATGAGATATCAAAGGAAGAATGAAGAAGTACAATACACCAAACATTCCTTTGTTCTTGCTATTGCGGCCCCAATTGAATTCCCTAATTGAAATGTCATGAACAACAACTAATATCTTCACAGAAAATTTTCTCAAAATGCCATAACATTAAATCTATAATATACCGGACTCATGAAGCGCCCATTGAAGCACGAACTCACGTTAAGCTGACAAAGAATGTTTAATCTTGTATTCACTTGACAATAAATAGATCTGTAAGAATGGGTAACTGCCAATGGAAAACTTTGCTTGTTTGCATAAAACAGCCCAGGTTGTATCTCCCAATGCATGACATGTATTAACCAAGGGTATTCCTTTAAATCCATGTAGATTTAATGAGTTTCCTCTAGGACATTGTAGCCAATCTATACACCACTAGTTCCCCTGTTTTTCACGCTTTTGGGTTTCCTCTGTCTTTTCCTCTGATTTCTCTATCACTACCTAAAGAGATCAAAACAGAAAAATGGATCGGCTTTCTGCTACTACATTGCTTCCAAAAATGTTTTAGGGGATGAGGGAGGACATCGCAGGGAAATTGGGGTTTATCTGGGAACATATAAAAGCTCCCCTAACCATTCTCTTTACTTCATCAGATGGGAGTGTTCTAGTTTCTTTTTGTTTTTTATCTAGTTTTCCGATCAGACCCAACTAGCAATCATAAGCTTAAACCAACTAGTCAACCTAAAACTACTTAATTAAGAGGAAAAATTGGGTGTTTTTCCCTCTAAAGTTTCAATTTTGATATGTATTCATTCTTATTATAGTACAGAGCAACACTAAAAAGTTAAAAAATGAAACTTCTTTTCTGGTTCTAAATGCAACTCTAGTTTCACACATATAGAAGATGATAAATAGTGTTTTATTTCAGAGGGT